CATATTGGGCTTTATAAATTTTAATTGTTAATTTCTTATTTAATTCAGTAATTTCAAAAAAAATAAAATTTTTTTCTTAAAAAATTAATGACATGTTTGGTTTCATTCTCCTTATTGTCATTATTTTTTTAAATCATGTTTGATTCATAAAATGATCATTTTTGAAAAATGATGATTTCTCAATTCTATTTCATTTCGGGAATCATTCACAACAAAATAACGATAGGAATTAAAAATAAAAATAAAGATTTTTTAATAGTAAAAAAGATAGAATTAGGGATTTTCCAACAATTTATTGTCCATTGTTCTAATAATTACGTGCATACGGCATCCTTAATTTTGCTACTCCATATTACATAGGAAACTTCTTCTGAAATTACTAAACGGAAGCCCACACGTAGCTTCTTTCCCTGTCATTTACCGCGGCTTTCCTAACCTTGTCGGCGTGTCACCAACGCGCTCAATTTCCCGCTTTAAATTTTGGTCAAAGTGTTACTGGAAAGCATCGAATCCCCTACCATCTAAGTTCCCTTGCTCTCCCTCACTAACAAGTAAAAACCCGCCACGTATAATGACAAATTCCTTCGGTCCCCAACGTTTACAGGACCATTTGGAGAAGTGAAGAAAATATTGGAACAGAAGATCAAAACTCGGTTTTCTTACAATGTCCCAAACTGACTGTTAACTGACAAATTCGGCTCGAAATCTCACTTTTACTTTCTCTACTAGGCAAAAAAACAAAAACCAAAAATGTTTTTCTTAAAAAAAATAAAAAGAAAAAAAAGGGAAACAAGAAAATAAAGCTAACAAAATTCTAAAAAAAAAAAAATCCTCTTATGGAATAAAATAAAACCAAGAAAAATAAAATCAAAGATTTGCCATTAAATCAAGATTCTAAAAGAACACTTATTAAAACCCTAGAAAAACACAGCAACACACAAGGGAAAAAAGAGAAAAAAATTACATAAGAAAAGGTGGCAAAAAGGTGTTCTTGGTTTTTCTTGGGTTTTAAAATTTTTAGATTTAAATTTAAGAATTTCGGAGAAGTTTTAGAGAAAATGAGTCTGATCAAAAGAAAATTCGACTTGAAAGGGTGCGATTTTGGGGCCGATGAACGACCACTGGTGTGGAGAGTGCGACGACCAGTGAGATTCCGACGATCGAAATCTGAAAAAAGAAGGCAAAGGAGAGGTTTTTTTGGAGGGAGAATAGAGCATCAGCATTGGAGAGAGAAAAAAAAAGTGAACAGAGTTGCTTAGGTTTTTTTGAGAGGATTTTATACCTTAGTGAAACGACGTAGTTTTGATAATGAAGCATTTGGACTTTAAGTTAGTTGCCACAGGCCACTTTTGACTAAGTCCACTTATGAATCTTGCTTCTTGGGCTGTTAGATTGGTTTGTTGTCCAAGCCCATCTTATTTGGATCTTTGGATTTTGATTACAGCCCACTTGACAAAACCCACTCTTATTCAATTGTTGGGCCACTTATCAAGTATGGGCTTGAACCTTCATGTTACTCATTTTATTTATTTATGTTTATTTATTTAGTTTTATTTTGTTTTTGTTATTAATGAAAACTAGAATATAATAAAAATAAAGTTCTGTTTTAAATCATAATTAGGTTAGGATGAAATTCTTACAACCATAATTAGTAGAATGAAATTATAAAATAAAAAATAATAAATATTTGTAATTATTTAAAAATAAATCTTTTTAAATGAAAGTTTTAAAGGAGTTGTAAGGGGCAATTTTTTTTCTTAAAATTGTCAGAATAATTATGAGACTTTACCATAAGGGTTGGGGGTGATCTCATAAATATATTTTATCAAAAAATTTATTTATAAATAATTAATAAGAACATAGATAAATAAATTATTGAGATTTTGTAAATATAATTTCATAATAAATGTTTAATATAAAATAAATGAAAGTCTTCTGATGATGGAATTTTGAGAATGTTATAAAAGGAAAACATATAATTAATTAGATACCATTTTCAATGGGCATTGTGAAGGTGCTAATCTCTTCCTCACACATAATTGTGCTTCCAAACCTAATTAGTTTCGTAAAGTGTAATCTATTTTTTTAAATGAACTTAAAGTCAAGCCTAAGACTTCATTAGAAAAATAGATTTAATTAAGTGAACAATCGCACTTAAATAAAAAAAATTAATGACGACGTCGAACGGTTGAGTTTTAGGACTCATATGTTATGACAGACACTATTTCTCTTCAGCCTTTTGTTGTATTGCACATGGACTGTTAATTAATTATCAGACATCTGATATATTTCATTTACATGTTGTTGGTGGCTTCCTATGTTCAAAATACCCGGTTACATTGATGTTATTTATGAGGATTATGTGGATCATACCTCTTTGAGATAAAGCAAAGTGTTTTCAAATATGTATTTTCTGACCAAATTTTATCTTGATTTTGCTGGAGTCTTCTTTCTTGTGCCTTTATTACTTCCACGCTTTCAATGTAAGTATAAGGTGAGCTTATATTTTCTTTTTGAATAACTAGCTTAACTAATTTTTTGAAGCGTACAAGTACTTATTCTAGCCTTCTAGTTGGAAGGATGTCTTGTTCTATCATCCTGCTTTTCATTATACAAATTTTTTGGGTTAAAATTACTTAATAGTTACTATTTCATTTGACAATCTTTACTCATTTATGACTGTGTATGTTTTATTTGTTTTCTTATCCCATCTTTTTCTTCTTCTTTGTTATGTTGTATGATATTACCCACCCATCTTTAAAGTCTTTACCTCTTAGTTTTTTTCCCAAAATCCTTTGGGATTGATAATCTGGGATGATTTTGAAGATACATTATCTAAAAGAATGTGTGGAATTTTCAAGGTTTTTGCTAAAGGGTTGGACTAATGTTTAGACTTGAGATTGCTGAATGGCACATGATGTCCTTTTAGTGCCATTTGTCTTCACTTATTTTGACCTATGGATAATCACATCTTTTTTTTTTGCTGATCCTAAGGGATGTAGTGAGACGGAGGGAACTTGTTTGCTTGTGTTAATGAACCAATCACACGAGTGGGCACATATATGCATTTGAGTAATGAAAATTTTGTGTTTGGGCGAGTAATGTTTCTTATTTACTTTCAACCTGTGTTGTTTTCTCTTTGCTTTTCCCACTTCATTTGTGGAGTTGTGGTAGACATGAGCATCAAAATGGATAAATTTGTATAATTACACCTGATTCTCAAATGTTTAAACTTTGAAATGTTCTGTTTCTGAAGCCTTATTGTAGTAGGGTGGTGGAAGCAAAGATCTTGATAAAAAAAAATTATTGTCTTTGTGCTTTCTAATGTTGGATCTGAATTGTTTTGATATGTATTAGATAAAACAGATGCACCTAAGGGAGCCAATGACATCAAACTGATAAATGCCGGCAAAATTTTGGAGTACCTTTTGGTGATCTTCCTAAAGCAGTCATCACCATGCATGTTGGTAGTCTGATCTCGTCCATTTTTCTTCTGCTGGATTTCTTTTGTTTAAACTATAATCCCCGCAGAGTAATATATTTATTGACTACTGAGAATAAGAATTTGAATTTGAAGGGATGGCATTATCTTGTATTCAAGGTCAAAATATGCATATGTTATGTGCTTTCTTTGCTGCATCTGTTAAATGTTAAAATGTGGTTAATTTTTGTCTATAGCAGAAAAGATGGTGAATGAGGCCCCCAAGAAAAACTTCTGTTCGTGTTCCGTATTGTAAAAGAGTTTGCTCTTGATCTGGAGTCAAGCTAGTGAGGCAGCCTCACAGGTTCTTGAGATCTGTTGTGCTATGGACATGGTAGCTGGAAGCACAAAATAATTAGTAAAACAGTGCCATCCTTCATTGTTACATGGTTTGTTTGAGGGCATTCTTGAGTAACACTGATGTTGATGATAATGTATTTGTGTCTTTTAAAAAATATGGTGTTTCATGTATTTGGTAGCTACCCTCTTTCTTCATTATTTATCTAATAGAAAGCTTATGGATTCGGACGTATACATAATACTCTTTCAGCCATGATCTTGATATATTCGAATACTGTTATATTCAGACTAGGGAATAGGCTTGGATGCTTTCTGAACCCATCAAGATTTAATTGTGTGAAACAAATCTAGAGCGTGTTTTGATAACTAGAAGTGTTGATCCAATGTAGAAGTTAATGCATTCATTCAACACCCTTTCTCCCACTTCCTTGTTCCCCTTTCACTCTCCTAGCTCTGCTGCCATGTTTAGGTATGTGTCTGGAAGAGTACATACTTTGTTTATATGTATATGCAGATGTATGTTTGTGTACTGATTCATGTGTGTGTGTGTGTGTGTGTGTATGAATGTATAAAGTCAACAAAATTGAACAGAGAAATGCATATTATACCATCAGGGTGCGTATGGCAAACCATTGGAAGGAAAAATGGAGCCTGGACTTTTCATTTCCTTGGTGAGATTATCTCATAACAATGAATGAATTTGGTTTCCTGTTTTACAACTTAAAGGAAAACCCACCATAAATTTAAAGATGAATTAATTAATTGGGACCTAATAAGCCGAGAGCCTCGCTTTCGAGAGTGGGTCTCACCATTCACCAAATCATCAAGCTTTGCAAGGAAAAATCTGATGAACTTGTTTTTCTCAAATACCTTAGCTCATCACCACCGACCTTGCGCAAACCCTTCGGTCCAGTGGTTACAACATATGGGACGAAAATCAGCAACGTTTTCTCGACCCTGTGCCCAAGAAAACAATAGTTTTTCTTTCCATTATTCAAAAGAAAATAGTTTATTATACAATGAATCAAATTTTAGTATTGACCTTATCCTGACTCACACCTTTCTTGGCATTTATCTTGACTTCTTTTTCTTTGTTTGTTCCTTTTCTTCCTTGGCATAACGTAAAAGAGAAGCAATATCCAAGATTGGAATGATAAGGAAAGCTTGGAAAGAGGGAAAAAAAACATGCATGTAAAATAGGAAGGAAGAAGATGATTAATCAACATCGCCATGCAGAAGCAGCAAGAATTGCTCTATCTTGCCACCCCAAAAGTAAGCAGCCTTTATCTTCAGTTAATCGGTAACCATCACAGGAATATAAACCGAGCAAAATCTTTGATTGGGTCACTGCATTTGCACTTAAGGGCACCCCTTTAAACCCTTTTCCTTCCATTAATTTCCTCCATTTCTCTAGCCTCTCATGCCTGGCTGTCCTCTCACTCCCTTCACAAGCCACAATGTTTCTTATCTCTGGTGCAAATATGTACTGCTCGACTTTTGCTCTTTGAGCAGAATCTGGGGAAAAAGTGGCATCCAATGAGTCAAATATTGCTGAATAGTAGTGCAACGCCTCGAGGAAACGGCCTAAGAAGTAAGGGCCATTATGGCTTGCTTCTTGTTCAACGAGGGTTACAATGTTAGGAGCTTGATCACGTATCATTGCCAGTAGGTTTCCAAGGCAATTACTAGGTACTCGGTGGAGCCTATTAACAGCGTTAACGGCTAGAGCCTCACCAACTCTCCTGTTGAACATATGAGGTTTTATATCTTCAAGTTGCTCGCCAATAGGGTGGAATTCAAATGGGATGTGGAGAGAGTGAGCTAGTTCTGTTAAGCATCTGCCTGTCTCTTTGATGTATTCTAGAGAGGGTCCAACTCCTGTTATCCTAAGAAAAGGAGCTCCATTAGGTCGGGCAGCTAGAGCTTGCATGAAAGCTGGCCATTGATAGCCTTGGAGGATATCTAAGTCAATAACATGAACACGTTCTTCAGCTTCAAAGGCCTCAAAAATGGCTTGATTAGCAGTGAAATGTGCAAATTTTATGTATGGACAGGCTTGGTAAACAATTTGATAAATCTTGAGAACTTCTAAGGAGTTTGATGGGAAAGGAACAAATGGTTTTGGAGCACTGGAAGTGCCAGGATTAGTGGTTATGGTTGCGGCAAGCCTTGCACTAAGGGCTTCGGTGAAGCAAGAGGCAACTCTTTGCATGGAGTCACCAAGAGGAGTTACCACTCGATTTAGATGGTGTATATATTTTCTTGCTAACAAGTAATCTTCTTGGGCCACTGCTTCAGCACATGCAAGGAGGAGATGCACCAATTGAAGCCCACTATCTTGCTCCTGTAAAGGCAAATTAGATTGGAGTTAAAATTTCTAGCTAAACTAAAGATAATTTGTTTAATTATATGTGAAAACTTCCATGCATCATATCTTTTTCTTCCTTTTTATTTTGTTCATGATCTTTTTCTTTATAAAAGTGCAAAAGGGAATCATCTTGAATAATCAATGAATGGAAAAAGGAAACCAGAGCAAGAGATCATAGTACCTGCTCAGGGCCAATAGGAATAGGAACCATTAAGGTATGGCCAAGGTTCTGGTGTTGCTGTTGCTGTTCTGGTGGTGCTGGTTGTTGCTTTTCTAGTTGTTTCTCTTGCTGTAGTTGTTGAGATAATGGTGGTCTTGCGATAGAGTTTACCGGATAGTGTTGCTCATGGGTCAATTGTGAACATCCGGCTGACGATGACGTTTCACTTGCAGACCCACAAAACCTTGAAGAATTTGGGATTGTTATGCAGTCTAGCACTGCTGGAGCCGTGCTTGGCATTTCAAACATGTTATTTGAAGTTCCCATACTTGAAATCCTTGTTGTTGGGTATTCTCCATAACCATCCTTCTGATAATCATCCAGGAATTCTTCTATAGCAGGCAATGAAAGGCTCTCAACCTGCATAAACTGATTGTTAGGTGAGTTAAAGACTTTGTGGAGTGGGCTTTGCCCTTTCCCTTTGTGGGTGCTGTTAAATGACCCAAGCTGAGACGAAAACCGAGGTGGAGAACACCCTGGCAGACTCTGCCCTTGCATTGCCTGAACATTACCGAAACTATAGCTTGATATTTGTGGAGATGGTAAGTTTCTCACTGGGGATGAGATCATGGCGTCAGAATCAAAATAATCAGAGAAAAAAGTTTCCCATGCAGAACTGTCTGGGGACTGGACCTCAACATCATCCAACTCAAACTTGACTGCTGGGAAATTGAGGCTTGGTGGGGTTAAGCTCTTTTGCTCCAAATCAGAAGATGGAAAAGTTTTCTTAGACTCAACAATTGACTCGCATGAGTTCTCACTCTTGATGGAACCCATGCTGCCACAAAGAGAATTCATCATGTTTTCTTTACTTTGATCAGCAATACTTTTTCCAAACACCCAAAAACCCTCCCAAAAAACAAAAAAGGGGTCTGTGTTTGTTTTCAGGAACCAAGCCCTTTCAAAAGAAGTAGCTAGTTTTCCAAACCCGCTCTCTCATAAGTTGTTCGACTAATAGCTTGGTAGGGTCTGTTAATGTTAATGAGAAAGAAGCTAGAGACAGTTTTCCTCTCTTCTTATTTCATAAGGGATTTGTCTTATTGTCTTGGAAAGAGAATGGGATTAGAGACAAATTTCTAAGCTGGATTCATGTTGATTGGAGGGTTTTGGTTAGTAATCTCCTCTACTAAGTCTAAGCTAAGCTTTAGCTGGATTTTTCTAGGGGTTTAATTTGTCCTTTGGGGTTACTCCTTGGAAGACTACAGGACAAACTCTTAGTTGGCATTGATTGGGACCACTTTTCCCTTGGGCCGTCCCATCTCAGAAAAGTTTATTAAACAATGATTGGACCCTTTCTTGGTGTGAAATGTGTAGTAGATTATCACTAGGATTGGAATACACAGAGAATGATGGCAGGGGGGGGAGAAGACTGGACAGAGGAGAAGGGGAGAAACTGAAGAAGAAGAAAGAAGAATAGTTTTGAAACAGAGAAATGGGGCCTCTGGAAACATGACAAATTCTGTGAAAAGGACTTGGAGCAATGCATAATCCTGAGAAAAGGACTTGAAACGAATTGAGTAAATGACAAAGGGATCATGATGCTCCTGCATTGTGATGAGCCAAAAATTGTTATTTTTACACTATGGAGGATGTCCTTGCCGATGCCACTTAGCTGCTTTCATCTATTGTAATAGTGAAATGATTTTGATCTCTTTTGTCTAACAATGAAAATGTTACATTACATCTTCAACCAAAAATCAATAAAAAAATGTTACGATGATAACAGTAAAACATTGGTTTAATGATTTTTACTTTAGGGGTTGACAATTTGAGTTCAACAATCACTCATTGCCACAATAACAATACCTGTAACCATATGTTATTAAAGAATAAGTTTTAACCAGCCATGGTCTAAGGGTAGGTGAAGAGTACTGTAGGAAATGAAAAAGTTTTAAGAGTAAATTACATCCATGGTCATTAAACTTGGGCAAGATTTCTTTGAGGAAAGAAAGGGGCACAATGAGGCGAATTTTGTTGACATATTAGTTCAAGTGGTAGCTATGTTAATTTTTGGTCGATTATTTGTATGAAATTTGTTATGATTATCAGATTTGATATATTTTAAAAATTTCAAGAACTTAATTGAGATAAATTAAAATTCAATGACTAAAACGAAAATTTTGTGAAAGTTTAGCGACCAGCAGTGTAATTTAGACAAAGTTTTAGTCCTAAACTTAGTGACATTGTTGGTAATGATAAGCAAATTCGAAGGGATGAATAGATGGAGGAGGTGGGATAGTGAAGAGAGGGGGAGAAAGGACAAGAAAGGAGACATAGGCAAGGTCGTCGGATGTGGCGTCGGTGGCGCCGCCTGCTCCTTGGACTTGCCAAAGGAATGAAGCGCTTGTCCCAAACCATCTTCTTTCTTAGGCGGCATCTCTCTCTCTCTCTCTCTCTCTCTCTCTTTCATTTTCATACAAACAAATACAAAGCCTAATCTGCATGTCCTTACGTACCATTTTCATGCCCCTAAAAATGTTTGCCTCTTGACATGGAAACATTTCTACGTTGTGAGTCTGTCCAATCAGAACCATCTTCTCCTCTTTTCTTTTGCATTTGTCATCTCCTGCCTAAATTGGTCTTGCCATGGAAATTCCATCTTCTTTTCCACTAAAACCATCATTTCATCATTGTCCAAATCGTCGGTTAACACTGTTGAAGCCAAAGCATAAACTTCCCATTTTTCCTCTTCTTTTCCTCACCACGAAATCATGGTCAGCAATGTTTTTGTATATCGTCTAGCATATGCCTAAATCAATCATTAATTAATTTAACCCTTTGGGAGGCAAAACTTTATTAACTTAAAACCTCCCTTGGATCAGCTAACTGCTAACATATATAGCTGATCTATCTAAATTTAAAAAGATTACTGACGATAAAAGTCTATATAATTTCTTAACTTTAATCAAACAACCCTCTCACAACCGTAACATTATTGTTTTTATAATTTAGATCTTAATTGATCGAAAGTAGCTGTTAATTAGCTATAGTAATTGTACACATTAGAAGTTTAAATCAATATTAGTTTATTAGATTATGATATTGTGAGTGATACAGTAAAATTAAAATATTGTCGGTGATATAATTAGATTATGATACTATTAATTTTGTACAATATATATCGCATTCATCTTAGTATAATTCACACAATCCAAAATACAAGATTTCTCTTATTATAACAACAAGTATATATTATAATCTAAAATATAATCATACTAATTTAGGTTATGCACCGTACAATTATAATAATTAAGTTAACAACCGCGGATTAATTCATTTTGTTGAGCATATCACACCAGAATTTTGTTTCAAGACCAAGTCTTCATTCCTTTTTAATGGCTGGAGAGAGGTAATGGTAAATTTGTGTGTTGCAAAGTAATTAATTAAACCTCACAGAAATGACAATGAAACTTGTTTTATCACTTGTTTCGACCTGCTAAAACAAAGCCATTGGCTCTACTAACGTAAGGGCATAATCCCTATAGCAAACAAAGTTTTCCAAAGAAACAGTAGAAGCTAAAGCCAAAAGGCAAACTGGTCTGCATGGATTATGGCCAGGTCAAAGCACTGCTTTAAAACATTTGTTCGGCATATTAGTATAAATTAAAACCAATCTCAATGTCTGTCCTCCATATCTTGATAGACAATGATATATCACAAAGTCAACAAATGTTCATTCGCCATTTGGCTCACGCCCCTCCACTCTAATTAATATGCCGTTTCATATAGTCTATTTGAGTCTGTCATGTTTGTTTAACCTCATGATTTAACCTTTTACTTCGAATAGATTTAAATGAAATTCAGTCATCTTATGAGATAGAGAATGTAATTGAGCAAATTATGAGAAATAATTAATTTGATAAATTCATTTTAAAAATAACATTTAATATAAAATTAATTGTTTTTACTTAACTTTTGTCATGACTTGATAAAAACATCTTTAAAATCATTTTAAACAAATTAAATGTTCTTAAGTTTTCTCTCTCGCCATTTGTCTGTTATGTTTCCCATTATGTTTATTTCTTGCCATCTCATTATATCATTCTTGATCTACAAACCAAATAACATGATATGGCAAGTAACAACATGTTTTTACATTTATTAATTTATATTTACAAAACCCTCTCTTTGTTTATCTTTTACCATTTTGTCATATCATCATCGATCTACAGATCAAAAAGAATAACATGGTGAGTAATAACATATTTTTAAGTTTTTCAATAATTTAAGTTTGGTAGAACAAATCTTGACGTGTAACAAAGTAATTCATGTTTGACATGTAATATTAGTAGAAAAAAAGAAATTTTGGCATGCAACATCTTATGCTGAAGCTTTGGGATTAGCGTGTAACATCAATATCTAGTGTTAAAGATTTGGCTTTGATGTGTAACATCTGAAGCTTTAGTGTGTATCATCTTTTACTAAAGTATGTAACATCTGCTTAGACTTGTAATGTCATTTTATTTTATTTTTTTGTTATTTCTAACTATTGTAGATACATATATAGATTAGTTGTTTTTGATATTTTGTAGTTATTTATATCTAAAAAAATTTAAATGATGGTGAGAGATTTTTTTTCCTCCAAAGTTGTTAATCTCTTCCTCTGTTCATCTTCTTTTGTTTTTGAAAATTATAAAAGTTTTTATTTTTTTGCAAAATTTTTTTGAAAAATTAACAATTGATTTACATTTACAAAATTTAAAAGTTTATGGGTTGAAATTATAAGTAAAATGAAATATATAAATTAAAATATTACCCAAAATTATCATACCCATGTTTGCATATAACAACTCTAATGCACTTGATATGTAACAAATCTATTGGATGTGGTATAACGCGTAATAACATTTTTTTAACATGGTGCGTTTGAATATGAAGAGATTTTATTAATAATAATTTTATTTAAAATTTTTTTTTCTTAATTAAAAATAGTTAAAATTAATTTTTTTTTTGAAAACACTGTTAGGTTTAAAGGCAAAAAAATGATCCTAATGTAATTTAATGCTGATTAAATTCAAGACAACAAGTTTAACGCCCAAATGAGAAACTCACAGGCCCATGGGTACTATATTATTGAGTTGGCATTCAAGTATTCATCAAAGGACATTAGCATGAAATCAACAACCACCAGCCCATAATAAGGTTCATCAAAATGATAATAAAAGAAACTCACATAAGTTATATATTTTCATTAATAATTAATCTGCCCAAGACAGTAAATTGTTCCTGATACAACTATAGTATATCTGGTGTACATACATGACACCAGCTAACAAAACATATCTGGTACGAACAGTACCACAATTCAATAGTAAGCTAAGCTTTACAATATTAAAACATTGTGAACTAAAAGTATTCATAAAGAAAATTGCTAGCGAAAGCTACCACCATGCTTTGAACATTGACTCACAATTAACACCATGTTTAGCAAGCATGCCTGCGAACGAGTTCCCATCTCACAAATGATCTTTTTATTTATTATCAATTGATTTTAAATTAGATATTTATTTTACAAATTTAATAATATATTAAAAATGCTATTTTCTCTAATTTTTAACATATTCGACGAGATTTAACTATAATTGGGTTTATCTAAAATCAGAAGAAATTGGTCCAACTAAACTAAGGTTTTCATAGATAAAATCTTTAAAATATTCCGAAGATAAATTTGATCTCAATTTTTCATATGAAGATGTTTACATTTATTTTTGGGTAAAATATCTCAAACCCTTAAGTTATGATCGAAATTTCAAACGAATTTATTAATTTTCGAAATAGATATTCTGTCTATAAAATATAAA